CCTCCTGCAGTGGGAACACAGGATGTTAACCCCTGGACTCCCAGGGAAGTCCCAATGTCACAGCTCTATATTCAGAGTCTGGTGCATGAGAAATGTCCCCAAATGATTGATTTATTATCTTTCAAGACACCACATATCTGCTTCAGAAATAATTCCTACTCTTACTCTGGAAAATTCTCGTGCAGGCTGTGAGACAGAGAAAATTTAGCTCATTTTGGTGCCTTTTTTCTTTTTATCCTGAAGACTTATCTTTTAATGAGGTTGAAACAACAAATTAAGACATCGCTAGGACTGATGCTGAAGCTGAAACTCCAATACTTTGGCCACCTCATGCGAAGAGTTGACTCATTGGAAAAGACCCTGATGCTGGGAGGGGTTGGGAGCAGGATGAGAAGGGGACGGCAGAGGATGAGATGGCTGGATGGCATCACCAACTCGATGGATGTGAGTTTGAGTAAACTCTGGGAGTTGGTGATGGACAGGGAGGCCTGGTGTGCTGCGATTCATGAGGTCGCAAAGAGTCGGACACGACTGGGCGACTGAACTGAACTGAACCCTTTTAGAGGCTCAGTGAAATACATACTGATGACGTCATAAGATTCCTGGAGGTTGCCTTCAAGTAATCTGGTGGGAGGGGGCACCAGACAAAGATGGCTGGCCGTGAATTGATAATGTTTGGAGCTTGGTGATAGGCACGTGTGGGTTTGTTATACTGTTCTGTTTTATTGTGTACTTAGATTTTTCCATTATAAAACTTTTTAAAGTGTGTAAATTAGAAGTAAAATTTTTTTCAACTTTAGGGTCATCTTTTTATTGACTGAATGTTTCAAACAAACCAGGAAGTCAACATCTTTAAAGTAATGTTAAACTGTATTCATTAATTTCTTTGTAATAGTCATTAAAGAGAATAACATAAATAGTTATTAAAAATAAATATATTTTATTATATTTAGGTATGTATAACAAAATAAACTACATACATAAATTTAAAATATATGAAATATTTATTTTTGTCTTCAGAGACTCAGTGTTAATTATGCATTTTAGAAGTAAAAGTTTTAAGTGGATGGATGGCTGTCAGCTCACAGCTGAGTCCTTCCCCAAGAATTTCCCTTGACTGAAAGGAATTATCTTGTCTAAGTTACCGCTTTCCCCCAGGGATGCCCTGGTAGCCTGCATCCCATAATTAGTAGGTTGGGGGGACAGACCTGGCTCCCTGGCCTTCTTTTGAGTTACTTCTAAAGGCCCATCTCAGTTGTATAGCTTCTCTGGGGCTTACGGAAGCCTTTGTTATGATGACATCACAGTGCTATGATGACATCACAGTGCAACTTCTGTTTCCAACCTAGATATTGTAACATTGTATGCAGTCTCAAGGGTGTCCTGGTCAACACTGAATAGCCAGCTCTCCAGACCACTAATCTGCAGTGTTTGCCAGTTTCTGTGGTGCAAATATCCCCAACAAGGCCAATTTCCAGCTACCAAGGTGATGTCACTGAAAACAGCTGGGAAGAGATGAGCACCATTGGTTCTGGTGACATAGTGCAAGTCACAGCTCTCCACCGTGGGCCAACTTTTCTCAGTGAAATTCTTAAAAGCAAATCTTAGTCTTTTTTTTTTTTTAAGGGCTGCTGCTGCTAAGTCGCTTCAGTCGTGTCCGACTCTGTGCAACCCCATAGACGGCAGCCCACCAGGCTCCTCTGTCCCTGGGATTCTCCAGGCAAGAATACTGGAGTGGGTGACCCAAACTAAATCAACAAAAAAACATCAACTCTTTTTTATATTGCCAGTTTGGGTGATTGGTTTATTAAAGAAATTAATGTATCACAGGCAGAATGAAATGAAGTTGGTCACCTCAAATGTTTCAGTGAAACACACACATATATATACACATACAAAACACCACACCACAACACCATAAGACAATGTCCCACAATAATTACCCAGAAACATTTAAAATACAGACTCCTTTTAATTTCTTAAACGTTACACAGCTCCATGCAGCATTCTGAGAAAAAAGACTTCAAATATGTTGTTCTTAGTGAAACTGGGGAAAACTGCCAAGGAAGTATCTGATAAGTTCAAATTATAATTGTTGTTATTGCCAAAATCAAATCCTATATTTAAGAGAGCCAAGGTTTCCTCACTGAAACTTTTAAGTCAAAGTAACTCATTTATAGTATTTGTTATCTCTGAAGACAAACACCAAGGAGCATTGTATGTTTGGAGACTTTGACTTTCACCTGGCTCAAGAGCTACTGTTGGAATAAATCAATAATCAGAAGTTGAAGATTTTTTTCAGGGGTGGGAAGAAAGAAAGGAAACAAGATCAGTGGAACAAGGTCATGAAAAGAATAAGGAACATCTTGTAAGAAATGACACAAAGGAGAACTAGAGAAGAGATACTTTTGTTCAAATGAATGGCAGGTTATTCTTCAATATTGGGTTCATTTTTGGAGAAAGAGAAGGTACCTTGAAATGGGAACAAAATGTCCCACTGGGGTGAAAAGTTTAGAATAATTAATTTATTTTAACAAAATAAATACTCTTAATCACTAACAATCAGAAAAAAGTTCCTGGTAAGTTACTAGAGTTACCAGTCCCAATGAAAGTGAAAGTCGCTCAGTCGTGTCCATCTCTTTGTGACCCCATGAACTATACAGTCCATGGAATTCTCCAGGCCAGAATACTGGAGTGGGTAGCCTTTCTCTTCTCCAGGAGATCTTCCCAACCCAGGGATTGAACCCAGGTCTCCCACATTGCAGGTGGATTCTTTATCAGCTGAGCCACCAGGGAAGCCCTGGTTCTCAAATTATGACCTGGTTGACAATCCCTTGGGAAGACAGGCTGAAATGCAAGATTCCTGGGCACTGGAGCTATTCTGATTCAGTGGAAGTCTGGTTTGGGGCTCAGGGATCTTTATTTTAATAAGCTTACTAGTACATTCTGAAGCCCATGGTCTCTGTCAAACCAAAACATGCTGAAAGGCAAGATAGTCAACAACAGGATATTGCATTCTGTAAGATTAGGAAGGTGTCTATGCCATTTTGCTATTATGCAAATATACCCTCCTTACAAATATCAGTCTGGATCCTTCATCTTCTGCTTCCCTTGAAGGTCATTTTTAGAAATAGCATCTTCCATCTATTTATTAGTCAGCCAGATTCTCATCTCTGAATCTTTAAACTCTTGCTCTGTAAAGAAAGAGGAAAGTGTGCTTGTATGTGTGTGTGCATGCGTACATGCATCCTTCACAGTTGAGAGGGTTGGGGGTGTAAGACATTATAGTTTTGTTAGAAAATTATCTTTCCAAACAAAGCCAACCAAAGGGACATTTTTTTGCTCTGGTATAGCTATGGAGACCCAATAATACCTACTGAACTGAAATCATACTTTTAGATTTTTTCTTATAAAAATGAAAAATTCTCATAAGTACCCTCTTAGCCAATTTCACTCTATAAGACATATATCCTTATATTATTAACCCTCTGGGACCTAAACCCCTCTAATGTACTCAGGAAACATTCCATTTGGATTGCAGTTGTTCTCACAAGTTTATATTCAACACAGACGGTCTGCCAGAGCTAGGTTCTTGATCTCATGTTGGAGAATGTAACCAACGGCTCAGCACTCTGGCATCTTGATGAAGATTCATTTTGGACAATTAACTAAGATCAATTTCATTTAAACATACATTTTCAAGAGAAAAGTCCTACGTGCCTTCCTTTTCTTGGCACATGTATACAATATATATTTTCTTGCACAAGGAATGCTGCACTGGTTCGCTGAGTTGGAATAGAGTCTCTGTTGGAATTTAGTTACCAAAATCAGCCATTGGATGGAGCAACTGAAGTTTCAGAACCCACTTCCTGTCCTGTTCTGCTTATAGGACTCCATACAAAAATTCAGGGGGAACTTTATCATGGGATCCACTTTTAAGCTGATGTACCTATTAGGGTAATGAAAGTGAAGTGAAGTGAAGTCGCGCAGTCGTGTCCGACTCTTTGCAACCCCATGGACTATACAGTCTACAAGGCTCCTGTGTCCACGGAATTTTCCGGGCAAGAGTACTGGAGTGGGTTGCCATTTCCTTCTCTAGGGGATCTTCCTGACCCAGGGATCAAACCCGGGTCTCCTGCATTGCAGGCAGACGCTTTACCGTCTTAGCCACCAGGGAATAGTTTCCCCCATAAAAAGCTTTCCACACTGATCACCTTTATCCTTTAAAGAGCTGTGAGCATCCAGGCCCCCAGAACGCGGGGGCTGTGGGCGGGGTTTCTGTTCCAGCGCAGCGTGAGAGCCGCGTCCATCTGTGTCATGTGAAGTCAAACCTCTCTTGAAGTGATTTGTTTAGAGTGTCATTTGATGGAGTGGAATGTTCTGTAACTCATTTGAACTATTACAGAAGCTTTGGTAAAAGGTCACCACTGCTTTTTAAGAGTTTCCCAATCTGGGCACCATCTGGGGGCTTGTTAAAGATAAGGTTTTCTACTGGCTTTTTTCCATACCGACTAGATTCAATTAGCAAAGGGCTACTTTTGCAGAGAAGTTTGTGTTCACATTTAGAGAGGGAGAGACAGACAGACAGGCCGCTGCATAGAGACAGAGAGAGAGACGGCGGCAACTCGAGTTAAAGGCCCACTTAGCAGCCAAGTGGCATGCTCGTGCCAGAGGACAGCACTGTTTAATGGGCCTGAATGGAGGGGTCGGAACTGAAAAGCGGAGTAGCATTTACTTTTAAACGTCACTTTTGAAACCACCCGTTCTTCAAGTGTTGTCTTGGGAGTCCACTCTAGAGGAACTTGAATTTCCCAACGCCCTCCAGTCCAGCAGGAAAATGACGTTGCTCAGTGTAGTAAAACCGATGCGAAAGGTTCAGGCCGCGGCGCGCCAAGGACGCTCACACCCTTACACCTTCATCATTTTAGTCCAGGCCTACAGTTGGCTGGTTGCTTTCTTCCCTCTTCCCCATGAAACAAAAGTCTTGCATTTTCCAAACCTCAAAAGCTCGGCTGTAAAACTGCAGGAAACCAGGAAGAGGAGAAGGAAAGTTTCCTGTTAAGACGTCTTTGGTCTTGCCGGCCAGGTCTGCGCTCTCCCTTCAAACACTCAATATGGCTTCTGACACTTGTCCTTGGAAAAAGTCCAAATGTGGCAAATGGCAGAGACAACATTTCTTTCCCTCCTGCCTGGAACTTCCCATGATATGGATGAGTTCTAGCTGGTTCTTTCATGGGTAACAAAGAGTCCAGCCACTGCTCACCGCCCTTGCCCCCATCTGCAGATAAAATTAGCAAACACATGGTGAGATCTACTGAAGTAAAAAATCAAAACTCTCTCATTTGGCTGGAATTCCTAAAAGGGTCTGGACTGAAGAGGCTGCACAGTAGCAGCTAAAACGCAGGCTCTTTGCCATTACAAATATTCTAAGAAATGTGTGTGTGTGTTTGTGGCAGGATGCTTGGGGGAGGAGAACGTTAATGTCTCTGCAGAGACATTAAAAACACAACGATTGTGTCTCCCTTGGTTCAATGAAATTGTTTTGGAAACCAAAACTGTCCTTAGAAAGGAAGAGAAATCCATTTATATTCCTTTTGAGGCAAGGAAGGAGGTCTTTCTGGCCAAGTCTTTAGGGTCCATTTAGGTCCAGGAAACTCAATCCTCAAGTTCAAAGCTCATCTCATCATAGAGTTCCGGGCGTGCTGACTTCCTGTTCCGGGAATATTTCACATCCAGGAGGTCACCCATCTCATCCAGGGCTTCCAAAACCTGCAAAGAGATTGCCTTCCATTAGTTTTATTTAAATTCTCAAGTGGCCTTGCCCTCTGAGGCCTCACAGAAAACCACACTCTTCTTTTGCCAGCTTATTTGATTTTTAAAGAAAAGGAAAAATATCCAAGTCAGTAAGTTGAGGTTTATACACCAGCCCTAGAGGAATGTTAGAGGCTAATGCATTTTATTTCGTATTCTTAACAGTCTAACTCCACATTACGCATATTTAAGGTATTGTGGGGATGTGAAGAGAGGAAGAAACGCATTTGATTCATGCTTACCAATGAGGTCTTTATTTCTAAAATTTAATGACAGTATGAACTTGTGAGAGAAAAAGAAAAAGGTTTGCAGATTACACTTGAGTTAAGTCTTCATGACACAAGAAATCAACCTGATCAGGAAGAAAATGAACATGGTGCTAACTAACTCCTTCCCTGGTGGCTGAGACAGTAAAGAATCTGCCTGCAATGCAGGAGACCGGGGTTTAATCCCTAGGTAGGGAAATGAGCATCCTCCTCTCTCTCTCCCATGCCTCCCCCATCCCTCCCGCTCTCAGCTTTTAAATACTCAGCTCTATGCTCCATAGAATAATAGAGTTTAAAACCGCAAGGGACCAAGAACTCATCTATTTCAATTCTCTTAATCCAGGCAGGTAAACATACAATTTTACAAATGAAAAAACTGAAGTCCAGAATATACACAATATAATTTTTCCTTCCAGTCTATTGCTAATCCTACAGAATTGGGCATGCTTTTTTTTTTTTTTTAACATTTTGGTTCTGTTTTTTCTCAACCAGTCAAAAGAAAATGAAAAGATGTTAGAGACTAATGTTTTGAAAAAAGGGAAAGTAAGAGTTGCTAACATCAGAATAAATGACTCATGGGGTTATGAGCGTTTAGGAAGACTTTCAAACTGACATCCGTTAAGATCTCTATTAAGATGTTATGAATAGTTTATTTCTAGGTGGTAGAATTATGGGTGATTAAAGTTTTCTTTTCACTTGAATGCATTTTCTTAACTTTTACACCAAATATAAGCACTAAGAAAAAGCAACAGACATTACATTTTAAGTGGCATAAGTCTGGGATAGTTTCTACTGCTTTTGCTGAAGGTGGGGGATGGGGCAGGTTGGTGGCTTTGAAAGTGAAGGACCCACATACTTGGGGGAGATGGGAGACAATTCATGGATGATGTGGGAGGGAAGCATAGGACTTCAATTATTTATTAATCTCAATCTCTTAAAAGTATATTTTTATTTTTAATACAATTTTAAATGTTACTTTCCGTTTACAGCTATTACAAAATACTGGCTGTATTCCCCATGTTGTACGATACATCCTTGAGTCTACCTTAAACCCAGTAGTTTGTGCCTCCTGCTCGTCCCTGCCCCGCCCCCGCCCCCATACTGCCCCTCTTGCCCCAGTAGTAACCACTAGTTTGTTCTCTATATCTGTGTCTGTTTCTTTTTTGTTATATTCATTAACTTGTTGTATTTTTTTAGAGTCCACAGATGAGCAATATCATACAGAATTTGTCTTTGACTTATTTTGCTTCTCGTAATGCCCTCCACATCCATCCATGTTGCTGCCAGTGGAAAAATTTCATTCTCTTTTATGGCTGAATAGTATTCCATTGTGTGTGTGTGTGTGTGTGTGTGTGTGTGTGTGTGTACACATTACATTTTCTTTATCCATTTGTTTCTTGATGGACCCCTAGGCTGCTTCCATATCTTGGCAATTATAAATTATGCTGCCATGAACATTGGGAGTGTGTGTGTCTTTTTAAATTAGTGGATTTTTTCCCAGATATATGCCTAGGAATGAAATTCCCGGGTCATGTGGCAGTTCTACTTTTATCTTTTGAGAAACCTCTGTACTGTTTTTCATGGTAGCTGCACCAATTTACGTTCCCACCAACAGTGCACAAGGGCTCTCTGCTTTCCACGTCCTTGCCAACACCTGTGACTTGCGTTCTTTATGATGACAGCCATTCTGATAGATGTGATGTAGTATCTCAAACTATTTAACTGTTTTTGGTCTCTGTTGTAAAATGTGTATAATATGCTGGTAATGCATAAATCTCAAAATGGATTTATGTTGAGGCTCATTGATCAACTACCTGAAACACACCAGGACTCAGGCAAAGTTGGCTTTATGCAGCTTTTGCTGCAGCAGGGAATGCACACTCCTGAATCATCTTCGTAACATCTGGGAAGAGTCACTTGTCACCTGTGGGCTCGTGCATGAGAGGATTCTAAGGAAATAGGGGGCCAGTTCTGGGTAGGATGCTGCCAAGAAGTGAGAGAAAGCCAGTGTTGGTCATATGTAGACTTCTTATTTGGAAGGTGGGAGGATTGAAAGGAGGTTAGAGCTGACCTTGGGCTTCTTGGGTGGCACAGACAGTGAAGAATCTGCCTGCAATGCAGGAGACCTGGGTTCAATCCTTGGGTCAGGAAAATCCCCTGGGGAAGGAAATAGGTACCCATTCCAGTATTCTTGCCAGGAGAATTCAATGCACAGAGGTGCCTGGTGGGCTACTGTCCATGGGGTTGCAAAGAGTCGGATGTGACTGAGCAACTAACACTACCACTGCTACTACTAAAGCTGACCTCAGTCCTTTACTGAGGACTGCTGTTCATGTTAGAAGAGGTACATTTTAAGCCACTTTGTGTTTGTAAAGTGGCCCCGTTTCTGTGTTCTTTCAAACACGGTCACTGAACAGACTTGTCTAATAATGTGTATTTTTGGCAAGTGTTGTCTATGTTCAGTCACCATCTTAATGCCCTGACTTTTCAAGGGGTCGTTTTTTCATATTCTCTTTCTTGCTTTTCCATGCATTCCAATGCTCAAAATTTTGTATTGATTTGATGATCTCAAAAGTTTAGAGGTGTTTGTCTAGGTGAGAGTTCCATGCCTCTTCCAAAACCAGGTAATCTGTAGGAATTACTTGTGAAGACAATCACAGGGTCTGATATCTACTGAACTGGGTATTCATTGAGTGCCTCAATGCTGTTTGGGTCAGAAATAAGATGCAAACCCACCCAGGCTACCCATCCCTTCTGCTGTCTCTAGAGCTTGCACCTGGGCACCTGAACTTCTCCCCACACCTGCAATGTTCCACTCATAACTCCCTTCTTCTATCAATGTGTAAACATGCTCAAGTCTCCCTCCACTTTCAAAAGCTTTTTCTAAACCAGTTTTTATTGCCTTTACAAACTTCTCGAAAATCTTGTCCACCCTTTCTTACCATCATTCATTACATTTAGAAGAAACGATTTGTTAAAATTAATATACTGGGAATATGCACTCATTTTAGAGAAACTGGACAATGTAGAACAGAAATAGCAAAGTTCTCCCATCATCTCAAAACCTAGGGTTAGTTCAGTTGTTAATATGTCATCTAATGAATCGTTACTGTGTTTTGTTATTGTTGTTGTTGAGTTGCTAAGTCACATCTGACTCTGTGAACCTATGGACTGCAGCACACCGGGCTCCTCTGTCCTTCACTATCTCCTGGAGTTTGTTCAAATTCATGTTCATTGAGTCAGGGACGCTATCTAATCATTTCTTTCTGTGTTGCCTCCTTCTCCTTCAATCTTTCCCAGCATCACATACTATGTTCTATACATTGGTTTGAGTCCTAAAGATATAATGGTGAAGCAGAAAGATACGGACCCATGTGTGTATGTGTATGTGTGTGGTTGCACACGTGTGCAATTCGAGCTCAAAGTATCATCTTCATTTTTAATTCTTTGTATTCTTATTTCTGTTCCCTTCACTCCCCTAAAACGCTCTGCTATGAGCAACAGCAAGCTCCTGGTAACTGCTAAGCTGATGATTTCTTCTCCCCTCTTACAGCATTTGGATGTTCTGCTGATTCACCCCCGACTTGAAGCTTTTGCCTTTTTAGTGTTGGGCAGTACACCAGCTCGTGACTTTTTGGATTGCACTAGCTCCATGTGAGCCCACGTCTTCATCTGTGATTCCTGTATCCACCCACGGATGCAGGCACTTCTGGAGTCTGCCCTTGGCCCATGTACTTATATCTGGACAATTCTTTCTTCTACCACTGACGTTAGTGATCTCCCCTTGATGTGAAGTGAAAGTCACTTAGTCATGTCCAACTCTTTGTGACCCATGGACCGTAGCCCACCAGGCTTCTCTGTCCATGGAATTCTCCAGGCCAGAATACTGGAGTGGGTAGCCTTTCCTTTCTCCAGGGGATCTTTCCAACCCAGGGATCCAAGCCAGGTCTCCTGCATTGCAGGCAGACTCTTTACCAACCAAGCCACCTGGGAAGCCCTGATCTCCCCTTAGTTCCTCAAATTCCTCAAAACTCCAGTCTTGCATGTTCTCCTAAGCTCTAGAATTGGCTTTTCCTTTTAAAAATTTCATTAAAGTATAGTTGATTTACAATGTTGTATTAATTTTCTCTACATAGCAGAGTGATTCAGTTATACATATATATATTGTTTTTCACATTCTCTTCCATTATGGTTTGTCACAGGGTATTGAATTTAGTTCCCTGTGCTATACAGTAGGACCTCACTATTTATCCATCCTGTGTATAATAGTTGAACTTTTCCACCGATGGCTCATAGACATGTAATCCCTACATGTCTACAACTGAGCTCATTTGATTCCCCTAGCCCTGCTGATGATTTGCTATTCTTTGCCACATACCTTATTTCCTAGTAACTTAGCTCCGCTGTTCTTCATTCACTAAAGGGCTAGAGACCTCGAATTATCCTTGATTCCCTGGCCCACATGTATCCTGCATCCAAATATTTGCCACGTCTTGGCAGACCCGTGCATGCACAATGTCCGTTCCTAGATTTGTTTCTTTTGCTCCCATTGCCCTTGACCTCATCATCTCTTATTTTGCTCAAATAGCTCCATACATGTGCTGACTCACTGCACCTCCATGCTCCTGCGGTTGTCTTTATTAGATTGTCATCTAGAATGTCTGTCCTGTGGTCATCATTCTTTACTAGATGAATTTATTCTCTCTGGTATTATTATGAGGTGCCTGTTTATAGTATGTCCTCTTAGACTTTTTGCCCCAGAGTTTTGCATAGAGCAGACACCTGATAGTGTTTGCTAAACTGCATTGATTTTTATGAGACAGTTTCATCAACCCCAAACTGACTGACATGGCTTGGATCTGTGATATTCATTCATACAGAGGTTGAAATTTAAGGACAGTAAAATGGTAAAATGGTTTTGAAATCCTTTGCACCTCAGGTAGGATGAGCTTTTACAATAGGTCTGCCTTTGCTGTTAGCTTTCCAGATGTGGCTTATTTGGGTCCTATTTTCTTGTGATGGACATAGTGGCTATGACCAGTGCCAGGATGTAGGCAATTGCTTCTAAAATAGCACAAGAAATCAGCATCAGGACTTAAGAAGAAGCCAAGAGCAGGACGTCTGGCTTCTCAGTCAGTCTTTGCTGTGAAATCAAAACAGCGACTTGACTCAAGTCTTCACTGGGTTGATTTTCTTTTCTATCTGCTGAGTTGATCACATTGTTGTGCATTGCTGGGACTCCCCCCCACCCTGACCCTTTTTTTAAAGTAGTGAGTGTTACTGGCGTTGTTTTCTTACACCATCCAAGAGAAATCTAGGGAAACCCAAGCAAGCTCTGTAAAAGAAGGTGCCCAGACTCCGAGGCCCCCGTCCCGCTGCCTCTCCTGGGCTGTGGGCACTCACCGTGTCCAGCATCTCCCGGGTGTGTGCTGCTGAAACACAAAACCGAGCCCGCGCTTCTGCAAGGGGCGTAGCTGGAAATCCAACGACCACCACACCGATTTTTCTCTTTAATAGATGCCTTGCAAAAGCCCTAAGGGAAAGATTAAGAAGGAGGTTAAGTGAGAGATGATGAAATTCTACTGCAAAAAAAAGGAATGTGGCTAATGACTTTGTTTTTAAAAAATAAGTAGAAGATAAGTGAAGTAATGAAACTTCCATCAAATCCAGTTGACCAGGAAATGTGGCAGCCAGTCACTTGCAGGCACCCATAACTGTGTGTGTATATTGTGGGACATGGCTCATTCATTACACACTGTGTGTTTAGTCTTTGATATTGAGCAGAAAATGCGGATGGACATGGACATGCCCGTGACCCTGGTTGAACAAATTTGCATATATGTAAACTTTTTGTCTGTAGAGTTCCTAAGGAATAAAAGCCCTAACACACTTGTAGGACAAGAATAGGCACACAGACTTCGAGCAGGGACCTGTGGGCACAGAGGGAAAGGAGAGGGTGTGATGAAGTGAGAGAGCAGCGTTGACATATACACACTACCTTGTGTAAAAGGGACAGCTAGTGGGAAGCTGCTGCATACACACGGAGCTCAGTCCTGCTCCGTGATGACTCAGAGTGGTGGGATTGGTGGAGGTGAGGTGGGAGCGGGGCTCAGGAGAAAGGGGATGTATGTATACATAAGACTGATTCATGTTGTCGTACACGGAAACTAACGACATTGTAAAGAAATTATACTCCAATAAAAAGAACCGCAACACAATGCAACTACATAAAGAAACAATGTGTTAGATGAAAACCTATATGCTTTAAATACTTAATACGATACCGATAATACAGTGTGGAGATTTCAGACGCCTCTACTTCGTGACTGTAATTTCAGAATCAGGATCAGAGGGTCTACGGGAGACAACCCCAAGCCACGTTCTCTCTCCAGAGACAAGGATTTTATTTTCCATTAAGTCAAAGATAGGAAATAGCAAGGGTCTTCTCACGTTTTATGTGTGCCTTCAGGGATAATAAACCCATTGGCTGGACTAAGGGGGGGGATGGGGAAGGGGGTGGGAGGGAAAGAAGTGTGCACTCACAGAGTCCTTCTCTAGAAGGAGCCTAGAGGCGTAGGTCATAGAACTACAAAGCCCTTTGACAGAGTAAAACCTTTTAAAGCTATGATTCCTTCCTCTTAAACACTTCTAGCATCTTTTTATTTCAGAGCTAATCTCAGTAATGATTCTAGAATACTGAGCTCTCAAAGTCTGGAAGTTTCTTGCACTGAGATCCAACCTCAGACACAGGCTTATGAGTCCAAGTGAGTGAGTATTTCCCTGTCTGTGCTCATCACTCCCCACAGGAATCCTTCATCCCTGAGAAACTCTGCCCACAAGTGGGGTAAATGTTTCAGATCTTCTAAGCATTAAGAGGTGGTTGTTGCTGTTTAGTTGCTAAGCCATGTCCGACTCTGAGCCCAGCCTGCCAGGTTCCTCTGTCCAGGGATTTTCCAGGCAAGAATATTGGAGTGGGTTGCCATTTCCTTCCCCTTTGCAGGTGTCTTATTTTAGGCTAGAAGCTGACAGCACCACAGAAACCCTGAGCTTCAGGAAGAATCCTCGATGCAGCCACGGAGAGGAAGGGTGTGGGCTCCCTCCTTCTCCTCCTGTTTAGCTGACGGCTCTTTGGTTTCCTCGTGCAGAAGGCGGGTTATCAGAGGAAGCGATGGAGATTTCAGGGACCACCAAACACAGCCTCTCTGGCCCCCTGGCTCGGGCAAGGCGAGATTCAGCCTTTGATTTGGAAAGGTTGCAAGGAGATGGAGCTTTCTAACTGAGGAAGCTTGAAAAGCAGCCATTCTTTTTCTTTCTTGATCACCCTATGGAAGGCTGCCCACGGAACTGCACAGGATGAGAGCTTGTAATTGTCTGAGAAACAAGTCAAGTGCTTTTATTGCTAGAGTAGAAACCACCTGACCCATGATTTCTGGCCGGCTTTTGGGGCTCCCCGAAGACCGTTTTCACTGTCTGCACTTTTCTCTTTGTACCAGAGGAAGTGAGTTTTGCCAAAGAATGTAGAGTGAAATATATGACTGTTGATTCATTAGGTTAATCTGAGGCCTCCCTGGAGCATGTCTAAATTTAAAGCTTACAACTTACACAACTAAAGCTAGCCTCCTTCAGTTTATGTATATGGTTGTTCTGAACGTTCAGCATAATGAGCCTCTGGGTCTGTACTACCCAAATCAAATTAGAGCTGGCATAGCCTGAAAGAAACTAAACTACTTGAATAAGAAGAAGAATAAAATGTTAGCCCTGCACTGCTCACAGCATCATTGCATTTTCTGCACCACCATCCTCCAAGCATATGACGACGAGGCCTGGGGCTGGAAAATGTCAGTCCTCTACCGTATAGGAAATACAATTCTTCTGATGCTTTTAGTGAATTTTTATCAGTGAAATCACATTCTACTCTACTACATAGAAGAGTCCAGTGGTAGAGCTGCAGTAAGACTTTATTCAAAAGGATACCTGGCTAGAGATCATATTTCTATTCTGCAGTGGGGGGAAATGTGGAGAAATCGCAGTTCTTTAGTAAAATCAAAGGTTTTCAAATGAGCAAATGGAAAAAGTGTTCAGACACTGGCTGAGACAACTAACTCCCTGTTTCAAAAGCTTTTCTGCGTATAAACTTTCCACTGAAGGAATATCAGAGAAGAAAACAAGACCAGGGAATGGCTCCTCCTGCCAACAGTAAATAACGTTACCTTCTGGAACTGACCTGTTCTAAGTTTCCTTAACAACAGAAATAATTAGATTTTTTTTTGGTACTAATTGTACAGTCCCTGTTGTACTAATCCACGCCCTTTTGATTCACTGATGATGACATTAAAGAGGGTTAATTTATACTCGGCATTGCTTTAAAGAGATGTGTATTTCCCCCTGTGAACTAAAGCTTGAGAGGCTGTGCAGTGCATTGAAAAGAGCCCTGGTTTAGGAGGCAAATGGAACTGAACTCTGGGCTCTAGTAGCTACAATAGGAGTGACACTGAGAAAACAGTTTTGACTTTTGTGCATCTAGGTATCTTCATTTGTAAACCTGAGCTAGGCATCCCACCTTCAATGGCTGAACATTGGGTTTAAGAGCCTTCCTTAGCATATAACTAACATTCAGCAATATTAGCTCCTCCTTAAAACTATCTTACATGGGAAGGTACTAAATCATTTGACCCATCATCCAAGGTCCACGATCTTTTCCTACTCTTTTCCTGGAAGTTTTATTTTTATTAATGGATAATAATTATTTTACTTTATTCTGTATAAAATAAAGATTTTAAAAAATATTGTAATTATTTTAAAAAGGCATGCAACCACAATGACTCAAATCTTACACTCTGTTGAAACTAGTAATAATAATCGTTGTAGACGTAATAGCAGAAGTAGTTGTAATAATGGTGTCTACCACTGACTGAGTGCTTATGCAGTCACTATATGAAGTGCTTCATATGCACTATTAATACTATTAAAAATAATAGCCAATGCTGAGTAGACCCTATGTAAGAGGTGACGATGCTGATAGACTTCATCTTGTTTAATCTTCAAATGATATCAGGAAATAGGTCCTATTCAATCCCATTTTCTCTCTTTTTTAAAATTTAGATAACTGTCTTAGGATGCCGTTTAGTCCCCGCTGTACGGCTTGAATCGGCCACAATGACACCCGCGTCCGCGCCCTCCTGAGCCCCCCTCCGCCCTCCGTCCTCGGGGCGCTGACTGAGCTCCCTGAGTTACACGCAGCTTCCCACTAGCTGTCTGCTTTACACACGCGAGTGTATACATGTCAGTGCTGCTATCTCACTTCACCCCACTCTCTCCTTCCCCCTCCACTGTCACAGTCTTTATTCTTGCCCTGCAAATAGGTTCATCAGTACCACTTTTCTAGATTCCATATACATGTGTTAATATATGATATTTGTTTTTTTTATGACTTATTTCACACTGTATAATAGACAGTAGGTTCATCCACCTCACTTCAACTGACTCAAATTTGTTCTTTTTATTTGCCAAATAATATTGCACTGGGCTTCCCTGGTGGCTCAGATGGTGAAGCATCTGCTTGCAATATGGGAGACGTGGGTTTGATCCCTGGGTTGGGAAGACCCCCTGGTGGATGGCATGGCAACGTACAGAGAATGCCTGTGAGCAGAGGGGCCTGGCAGGTTACAGCCCACGGGATTGTAAAGAGTCAGACATCACTGAGTGACTTAGCACACTATTCCACGGTATATATGAACCGCAACTTCTTCATCCATTCATCTGTCAATGGACATCCAGGTTGCTTCCATGTTCTGGCTATTGTAAACAGTGCTGCAATGAACACTGGGGTACCTGCATCTTTTTGAATTACGATCTTCTCAGGGTATGAAGATGCTCAACGTTGCTCATCATTAGAGAAATGAAAATCAAAATTACAATGAAGTATCACCTCACACTGGTCAGAATGGCTATCATTAAAAACGCTATAAACAATAAACACTGGCCAGGGTATGAGGAAAAAGGAAACCCTCTTGCACTGCTGGTGGGAATGTAAATTGATACAACCACTATGGAGAATGGTATGGGAATTCCTTAAAAAGCTAGGTATAAAACTACCATATGACCCAGCAATCCCACTGCTGGCCAATATACCCTGATATATCTCATTTTCAATATGAGAAATGCAGGGTTTCAGAAGTTTGGTTTAATGAGGAAGAGACAGAATGAAAATTATTTTTCATTCCAAACATCTCATTACACTCTAGAACATAACTTTTCCAGGAAACTCCTTCTGAGTTTTATTTTCGTTTTTCACATTAGCTTTGTCAAGCCGGGACTCCTGTCATATAAAGGAGGAGAGGAACTCTCTCTCATTCTGTCACCATGCACTTAAGGGCATTTGTTTTTGTTTGTCATGGACTCTTCTCATTAGATGGACTCAACTTCCCATCCAGTTGAGGTTCCAATTCCAGCTTCTATCATCAAATGTCAAGCACACTCCCTAACACCACCCTCAAGTATTGTGTATTTGACACATTCCAAAGTAAAGCAGGCTTACTTTTGGTGTCCTCATTGAGCGAATCATAAAGTATTAGATAAACATGGGCTAAGCGTGGAGTCAAAACACACCACTTCCCCAACCACTCTGAGTAAATGCGAATTTTCTTCTGTGCTGTCCAAGATCAGATGGTGGAGGGCTTTGGGGTATCTGCCACTTGGAATCACCGTTGTCGCCCCCTCCCCGCCATTAGCACAGAGCAGTGTCCTGTGACATTCCCGAAGCACACTGTCTTCTGGGCCACTCCAAGTGCTGATTTCCTGACCCAGATCCACAAAAAAAGGGCTCAATGGTGGACAGCTGTGGTGCACGAGGCAACTCATGTGTGTGTCATTTGGCCCTGGTGACATGACACGAGAGTGGACATCAAAGAAACCATCTTTTAGGAATGTTTAACTCAGTCCTAACCATCATGAGTTTTCAACAAATAGCTCCAGAATTTCTTTTCTATACTATTCTAATAGTCTGCCAATCAACCTAGACTGTCAGAGAATCAAACAGAAAGTTCCAGCAATATGGTTGTGTTAAAGGAGCATCAGGACCTCCAGAATCTGATGAACATCTGTTGATAATCACTTTCTCCCATGTGCTGGGTCAGACACACACATATTTTATATTTAGAAAGATTTTAATTAATATCTTTTTAATCATTGAGTTCATTCATGTCTAGCAGATTGGAGAATGACTCCTGGAAAAACTCATCAACACCATCCTGAGAAAAAGTCATTTTTTTTTCTCTTTGTGCATTTGTTACTAATGCTCAACTTCAGAGTCACAATCAGTGGAAAACAACCTGAAGTCGGCTTACAGGAGAGGTATTAAAATTTGGTGTCGGGAGCAAGAGCTTTGGAGCAAGAGCCTAAGTTTGGGTCTGCCTGTTAGTTTTCCTACGATTGATCTTGACTTTGGAAAGCTATTTAGCTGCTCTCAGCCTCAGTTTCCCCACACATGAGGCTGCCTTCTTTGGAGGGTGGCTGTGAGAGTTCAACGGGAGAAGACACAGGGCCTGGTCATGTTGTTTTTGAATGTTGGGAGAGATGGTCTTTTGAGGTTCTCCCTGTGAAAGATCTTGGGGCAAGAGGAAGTGCAGGACCCTTGTTCATTTACAGCTGAGGCCTCAGGCAGCAAGTGGTTTTGCCCAATTCACAGAGCATGGGAACGGTGGGCCACAGCACCTGGCTCCCTTCCCACAGGACCTTGTGACTTCTGAGAAACTTGACAAGTGAGTTTTGAGCTCAGCATCTTGCTCCAGATGCAAAGAACACCTGCGCTGAAAGACTCCCCTGGTGTCGGAGCGCCATCTCCAACAGATCACCCTGGGGCTTAGGTGTTACGGTGGGCGTCCGCTGGATACTCACGCTACTTTCGCAGGCATGTAAAGGAGCAGCGGGACCACGGGAGACTCTTCATTGCCATAGACAATGAATCCCATTTTGCTTAGTCTCTGTCTGAAGTATCTTGTATTTTTTGCCAGTTGCTGTATTCTCTGCAGTCCTGAAAGGAAATAGGCATGAAATCCATCAATTCCCACCTGGAAGAGGGAAGCAGATGTCAGACTGTCTTGGCAAGGGCTGTTAAGTCTTTCTGCAGGCCTGCATTAAGGGCTGGAGGAGGGTCAGAGCAGGGTGGGCAAAGATCTCCTGGTGGGCAGGCGTGGGCACTGATGCCCGGGACCTGCCCTGCGCCTGGAAGACAGGGTCTGGGGGGACAGTGCTGCTGGCTACTGCTGCCAACTACAGCCAGGCTGGGCTGCAGGGTGGCAGGGGAGCAGGAAGGGTGTCTCGGCAGAACAAAGGAAGTGAACTACTATTTACTAGATACCCACAGTGTGCGGAATCTGCTAAGTACTGTAGACAAATTAGATCAGGCGAAGGGAATGTGACAAGAAACGGAACACCAACCAAGAAGGAGATTGTTGCAAACCTCAACTGTCCCTCTTCTTTTCTGTTATTACTCTTCACCCCTTCCCCCATCCTCGTTTTCCAGGAAGATCTCTCCCCAGCTCTGCCAGTCCTCAGAAAGCAGACCACGATGTAGAAAACACCTCGTTTGTTGTACTTTCTCAAGAAAGCTGACCTGTCCCCATGCTGGCAACAGCCCATGGATGGAGGACACGCTCGGCCCAAGGGCAGTTCATTTGGGTGCTGCCCAGGGGGCCGTGAGTTGGTCTGTCACGAGAAGTTTGCCAAAGAGATAATACATATGAATTAATCCAGTAAGACTGTCTTGCTAGTAGCACATGAATATAAAAAATTTAGAGAGAATCAACAATTGGATGAAAAACAAAAAATGATGGGAATTGAGAGAAAAGTGTATTCCTGGAATCTATGAGACAGAGGAAATCATTGGTCAGTAGAAACTAGGGTAGCCGCGAAGTAGAGAAGTGGGCAGTGCAAACTCAGTCAGGAGCAATGAGAGAAAAGAGATAGAAACAGTCTCCCGGGGGAGACAGGCATGAATCAAATAGTCACAAATGAATGTAAAGCTGCAACTCTGATGAGGGTGGTGACGAATGCCATGTGGTGTTTGAGAGTCTACAGTGGGAGCTTAGACCAAGTCTGAGGAAAGCAACACGCGATGAGTGAGCTGAGATCTGAAAGATAGACAAAGGTTACCAAAATAAAGAGGAGGGAATTCCTCGCCCAGGACACAGATGCAATGGTCCTATAGTTCATAGAAAAAACAGAATGGTTGAGAACCAGCAAGATGTGGTTGAGGGCAGGGCAAGACAGAGGAACAGTGAGTAGATTGCAAAACCGGAAGTACAGATTAGAGAATCCAGCATTGAGTGCTTGGGAAGAGGAGCTTAAAAGGGAGACAAAAGCAGGAGCAATCAGGAAGGGAAAAGAAGTCAGGAGAACTGGCATTCATTGGCAGTATTAATATGGTGCTCATGGATAACTTTTGCTTTGAGGGTTCCTAGCTGGGACTCAGTTTTAAACAAACAGTTAGTTGCAGGTATAGTGTACTTTCATTCATATGGGCTTTTAGTTTCCTAGCTGGGACTCAGTTTTAAACAAACAGTTAGTTGCAGGTATAGTGTACTTTCATTCATATGGGCTTTTAGTTTCCTACCCACCTTCTTGAAACAATAAGCTCTCTCCCCTAAAATTTCAGATTTGCAACATGAATCCAAGAAAGGGACTTGGAGAGGTGTAGAACCATTTGCATACATTTTGTTGCATAGACATAGCCTCTTCTGTGCTTTAAAAAAAAGAAAAGAATTGTTTTGTAACATGCTGAAGTGTCTTCTGGTACAGAGAGGAAGCTACTTGAAGGACAGAACTAGAAGTGAAGAAGAAAAATATTGTCATTACTTTAAAAAAATTTATTCATCCCTACATTGAAACAGTGTGTGCTTAGGAAGAAGAGGACATAGGAGCAGGGGTATTGTGGGTCAGAAAAGAGGGGCTGGAATATGACTTGCTTAAAGAAGGTGATTCAGATACAAATGAACTTATTTATAAAACAGAAACAGACCTGTGAAAAACAGACTTGTGTTTACTAAAGGGGAAACATGGGGGGATAAATCAAGAGCTTGGGATGAATGCACCCATGAGACTATACATAGCATGGGTAACCAACAAGGACCTACTATACATTAATAGCACAGGGAACGTCGCTCAATGCTCTGTGATGACCTATGAGAAACGAATCTAAAAGCAAATGTATACATGTACATATATACCTGAATCAATTTGCTGCACACCTAAAACTAACACAGCATTGTACGTCAACTATACGCCAATAAAATAAAAAAGAAAAATATGAAGGTGTCTCAAATGAAGGCACAGATATACATCCCAGTCTTCAAAATGTATTCCATATGGCTTGTCCCCTTGTGCGTTCAGCTCTTCTGTTGATTGTTAGCTGTACAATGAATAGATGAGTTCATCAGGCTGGGTCTGATACTTCCTAAATGATCCCCCTCTAGGACTAGAAGGATTTCCTGGTCTGGAAGTACCTGAATGACTTAAATTGCTTTTCCCAATGGCATTATCTTTGCACTTGCCCATAATGACTCATCCATCATTGGGCTGACCTGCTACTTAATCGGCCCCATCTGTCCTCTCTGCCTTGATTAACCCAAGTAACTGGATCACCAGCTAATGTCATCACTTTCTGGCTTCTAGATCCTTTGGAGAGTTCACCAGATGGATCAGAATATTGATCACAGGGGCAGCTGACTCTTAAGAACTGGATGCTTTATTCTTGCCCCGTCTTTTCCCTCTTTGAACCACGCAGAACAGCATGGCAGGCAAACCATTATGACATACTTTGTGGACACCACTTTTTCTCACATAGGGCTCCTATAGATGCCTTGACGTCTTTTGAGCTGGCCAAGATACAGTTCCTTTCAATTACTTTATTGCTCACTTCTGAAAATTGGAAACATTCTCCTAGGGTTGGAGGGCCTGGAGGCAGAGAGAAATCTGTACATATAAAATGCTACTCATCTACAGGATGTGGGTGATTTGATTAATTATGCTGTACTTTGAGCTTCTTGTTTGAAAAGCACTTCGTCAAAGTAGAAGAAATGTTTGCACTTGTCCTTTCGTACAGGGGTGGGCATGCCAGGATGACATGAAGACTGGGCATGGTAGTGACCTTCCCTTCGCAACACGTAAGGTCCCTGGTTAAATACTTTCTGGTTCTTCTTCAACCTATTACAGAGAAGACGGGGAGGCCTCACCCAGATAAATAAGTGAGGGGTCAGCTCTCTTATGTAGAGTGCTGGGGAGCTCATGCAATTGTGTTATTTTGCTGTATTCTTGGTTCTCTGGAAAAGGAATAAGCTCTGGAGTTAAATGGACTAGGAAACTCCAAACTCCATGTGGACAACTTACAGCTTTAAAACCTCAGTTTTACCTGGAAATAAACTTATTTCACAGGAAGACTTGGAGCAATAAAGGTGTTAGTGCAGGAACATGCTTAGTACTGTGTCTGGGAAATAGATATTTACAAGGTTAGTTACATTTTTCCATTAGCAGCAGTTCTCAGCAGCCTCAGTGGCACCTCAGAGCATCTAGAGAGCTTGGCAAAGCCCCATGCCCGGACTGTACCCCAGACCAATGAAATCAGCATCTCTGGGAATGAGACCAAGTGTGAGTGCTGGCTTTCACCAGGTGCAGCCAAGGAAACTCAATGTCTCAGAACAATGGCCATTACCAGTTCAGAACAATGGCCATTACCAATTCAGCCCCATGGCCATGGGTGGCTGTGTTTGGCTGTGTCTTGGCTGAGTCAAGCTCCTTGGTTGGCCATGGAAAGTAAAAAGATGGGCATATGTCCTTGCCTCTTGTTTGGCAAGATGACATCTCAGCAGTAATTGAACACCCGGAGTCTCCAGTGGTACATTTTGGGGGTGACTTTCTCCCTGGACAGTTATCAGCTCCAAAATGCTCACTCGACTGGAGATCAACCCCACTGTCAACCTCGCCCCTCCCATGAGGCTGGATAAGGTCAGGGATGGACCCAAGCGGGCAGATGACCTGAAGGGTGCCATTCGGCCCACTTGGATTTCTAGCTCTGCCGGCTTGAGGGATGGACTGGGTTTAACCTTCTCTCCAATGCTGTTAAAACAAAAACAGCTGGGGCCAGGGAAGGAAAACAAATAAAACCCTAAGCGTCCCACTACAAAGCCATGCAGTCCCCTAATAAAAACAATCATCAGTGGTGTTTCCAAAAATATGCTTGGGACAACTCAATCTTCAGAGGGCCAGAAGGCACTGTGGACAGAGGACACACCCAGAATGACCTGTCAGAAGCTAAAGAAGGAAAATTTCTTCTCTGTTGAACCATCAGCTGGCAAGAAAGAGAAAGGCATTTCCCTCTGTAAGGCTCTGGCGCGTTTGCCAGCCAATACCAATGACAGTCTCTATTTTCTGCAGACTTTTCAAGCTTGCTGTCTAACAGAGGAAACGTGCATAGACCCAGATGCCATGGTGGGGGGGGGACTCATTTTATCATGCCCCAGGTTGAAAAGGGCACATACAAAAATACACATGGCGCTCCTCTCACCAGTGCAGAATACAGAGTGGGAGACCTCAAACCTGCTTCTTGGCAGCCGTGCTGGGAAAGCGTGGTTCTTTCCTTTAGAGGTGGGTAGAATCTCCCCTTAAAACCTGTCCCACAATTTAAGAAGTTGATCTTTTTCAACAACCAAATCGATCCTCCAGAGTGCCCGCAGTGGTCTCAGAAGGTCTCCCCTGCCCCTCCGCCCCCACCCCAGCCGTTCATGGCCTCCCCCTTCCTTCTATTTATTAGTCTGATGCTCACACTAGGCTTCTCCTCCAGGCACAGAGAGGGGTGGGGGCGGGGGTGCTGGGGAGAGACCTTGGAGTAAAATTTCAACGTGGCAGCAGGAACCCAACGTCTGTTATTTTAAGCTCTGGACACCAGACAGGACATTTTGTTTCCAACACACTCTGGGGCAGGGAGATCTCAGGAAAGATCAAGAGGCTACAGAGCAGCAAGAATCATAAGAATCACAT